ATAGGGTTTCAAAGAGAGACGGTTTAGGGTTTAGGGTTTAGGGGTTTAGGGTTTATAGGGTTTAGGGTTTAGGGTTTAGGGGTTTAGGGGTTTAGGGGTTTGGGGTTTAGGGGTTAGGGGTTTGGGGTTTAGGGTTAAGGCTCGACTCCAAAGCCTAAGCTCAATCTACAACCTATAAGTTCTAGATGCTACCCAAAGCCCCGAACCCGAAGCCCTCAGTCCGAAACCCTAAGCCCTGAGACGTTGCGGCAGATCGGACAAGAGGTGTGAAGCAAACAAACAACCCAAACCCCAAAATCCTAAAATCTAAACCCGAGGTATTTCCTAGCCACCAGCGTGACCTGGGTTTTTCGCGAGGACGGGCTCTTCGAAAGGGTTGGTTGGAACTCTACACTTCCTGGGGGGTTTGGGGATTGGGGTTCTTGGTTTTTTGGGGGGGGGTATTGAGGGTTAGGGTTTCGTTGGGATGGGATTCAGGGTTTAGGGTTCAGTTGGGGATTGGGGTGGCAGGTGTAGGATTTGAAGGCTTGGAGTTAGGGTTTGAGGGATTGGAGTTCAGGATTTCCTCCTTCCTGCGACTGCGCAGCACGCCTTTCAAGGGCGGCCTGTGAACGCCATACACCCCGGATAAAGCCCTTGTGAAACCCTCTAGAATGCTAGAAAGCCCTCATGAAACCTTATGGAATCGAACCCTAGCCAACCCCCTTACAAAGCCTGTAGAGGCCCGCAGCCACAGAAAGGAAGGTCCCAAACGGGTGGCAATGACCATTAGTCACAGTGTTCCCAAGGGTTCCCCGTGATGGCCACAGCATCACTTCTCCCAAGACCTCGCTCCACCCTTGTTTCGGGTTTAGGGTTTAAATATATGAATGCAGGTCCCTGATTGGCAGACTCATCTTTAAGGGCGGGAAACGGGGTGTTTGTTGCTTTTGTCCAGAGCTGAAGCGAAATCCGACAAACAGCAGGGCAGTACTGAAGCCATCCTAACCTTAAGCCCCAAGCCCTAAAGCCTAAACCCTAAAACCCAAGCCTAAAGCCTAAACCCTAAAACCCTAAACCTTAAAGCCTAAACCCTTTAAAACCCTAAAGCCTAAACCCAAAAAGCCTAAACCCTAAACCCTAAAACCTTAAAGCCCTAAAACCCCAAAACCCCAAAAACCCTAAAGCCCTAAACCCTACACCCTATAAGCCCGAAGCCCCGACAGGACCCTCACATCCTCCACACGGTGGTGGAGAGCCTTGCATCCCTTCCGCTGGTCTGGCTTTTCCTTCTCGGCATGCGCGTGTGTATGCGGCTTGCTTGGTGGGGTTTAGGGTTTAGGGTTTAGGGTTTAGAGTTTGGGGTTTAGGGTTTAGGGTTTGGAGGTTAGGGTTTTAGGGTTTAGGGTTTAGGGTTGAGGAATCAGCCTTTGGAGGGTCATGGGCAGTGTTAACGAGGGCTTCGTGAGGGTGTTTTCGCGATAAGCGGCGGTCATAGTGTTACATTACACCTAAACCCTAAACCCTAAACCCTAAACCCTAAACCCTATCTTACAGTTGTGTGTGCCGCCGTCAGGCTGCCAGGAGTCGTGCCCCAAGGAATGCACGCTTCGCGCCTTAAGCCTGTCTAACATCAGAGTTTTGAAACCCTCAATCGCAGTATCAATTACCCGAAGAGGAAAGAAATCGTAAAAGCCCTGAGAAGTAATGTATAGCTGACCCTGAACCTTCAAGTGGGAACCTCAATAAAAAGAACCGTTCTTGCACATTACGAGTTTGGAGATTTCGGTTCAAGGTTTCGGGGCTTATCCTAGAGTGTAGAGTAGTTGTAAGAAGTGTTCAGGGTCGAGGGTTGTGGGTTCGCGGCGCGGTTCTCGATTAACCCTAAGCCTAAACCCTAAACCCTATACCCTAAACCCTACACCTAAACCCTAAGCCCTATACCCTAAACCCTAGACCCTAAACCTAAACCTTAAAACGGGGCATACCTCGAACACTGACCCGAAAGAGCTCCGAGCCCCAAGCCAGTAAGGCACCTTTGTGAAAGGCGTCTAATAGTGCAGGGGTCTACCCTAGCCCGGTGCGGTGGTGGGAGTTTCCGAAAATAGGGGGGTACCTTATTTGGGGTCCTTATAATATGGATCCTACCATTTAGGGTACTATATTAGGGTCCCCTATTTTAGGAAACCCCCATATCAGTCATCGAGTCGACACATTTCTGGTGTACACCCACCCAAGAAAACCCTTCGGGCCCTGAGAAGCTTACTTCGCGAGCCCTCTGACTACACCCTCAAGCCTTACACCGTAAATCCCATAATCCTAGCGCCCTCTCTACCCCCCAAAGACAGAACCAAAAGCCCGAAGCCGAATTAGCGGTAAACTCCCGCACCTCGAAAGCTGGAGGCACGGAGCCGACCTGACCGAAAAATGTCGGGCCATACCAGCATTTGTGAACCAGATTCCAACGAATCTGGATGCAGCATGGCGGAATCTGGGTTTTGGGTTTAGGGTTTAGGGTTTAGGGTTTAGAAGATGCGGGTCTCAGTTTGCGTTTGAGGCTTCTGAAGATTCCGGGGCTGCCAGGAGGAATGCTCACTGAATCGTGTATCTGGGCTTGGGGTTTGAGGTTGTGGGTTTAGGGTTTAGGGCGGGTCCAGGTCCCTAAACCCTGCACCCTGAGACCCTAAGGCCCTAAGACCCTAACACCAAAACCCTAAACTCTAAACCCTAAACCCCAACACCCTAAAACTAAACCCTAAACTCCTAAACCCTAAGACCCTGAACCTGGGGGCTTCTGCGGGTTCTGTTTTCGGGGGCTGTACCCCTAATTCGGGTTCCTTGCCCCGCCTTTCAGTACACGGATAGCCGCATTATCTTGAGGAGTTCAGTGAGACGGTGTTCAGGATTTCGGGCTTGGGCTTCGGACTTGACGGGTTTTGTATAGGGGGCTTAGTTAGAATAGGGTTTCGGGGCCCATGATACTACAATTGTAGCAAGGAGCCCTCCCAAACAGCATTGGTAAGTATCTAGGCCCCTACATTATGACCTCATTGGTGTTTCGGGGTTGGAAGGCTCTGGATTGGGATTTTGGGGTCCATGATTTTCAGTCCCGAGCCCCCGGACCTGGCGACTTCAGAGGCCCAGAGGTGCTTCAAAGGGAACGGTAGGTAAGGGCCTTAGTCATTGCCTATATCCTTTTGGGGGTTCCTTATTATACTTATAGTTAAAAGGGAACGGTAGGTAAGGGCCTTAGTATTTTTTGGGTTTCCCCCAAACCCTGTTCTAATTACTGAGGCCCCTAAAATTAGGTGGGAAGCGGCCCTGCGCTTGAAACCGCAGGTTACATGCCTGTCTTCAGGTTTTGTCGTCGTTTTCTAGGGTTTAGGGTCTAGGGTTTAGGGTTTAGGGTTCAGGGTTTAGGGTTTAGGGGTTCGGGCTTCCCGTTCGCGTCCTGCACACCGCACGAGGTAGACCTGGACCGACAGTACCTTGTCACCTTCATCGCGGCTCCCAGGTTGCAAGCCCTAGACCCTAAACCCCTAAACCCTGAACCCTAAACCCCTAAACCCTAAACCCTATCGCCACAGCAGGGCCCTAGCCATGAAGATGCCTTGAAGCTTCGACATTCCGACTAGGGCTTCAGCATCCCCTCCACCTTGAGGCCACTGCCCAGAGCCCTCTGCGTGGAATCTGTGCAAAACCGTACAACAAGGTCTGAAAATTGAAGCCCGTGCAAAAGATTCATTTGGCCGCTGCGGCGCTCTTGCAGAAAGCAGCAGCAACCTAGGAGGGCGTTTGCACACTCGGTGTTTAGGGGTTTGGGTACGGCTAAATGTAGATCGTCTCCCTCAGTGCATGACCGGACTCTTGGCGGTGTCGCTAAGTGAGTTCACCTTGAACCTCATGCAGTACCCCAAACCTTGAACCCCTTAGCATAGGAGCCTGAACAATTGCCTTGCTATTCCTCAGGCCCCATAATATTTTTGTAAGAGTAGAACAAATCCTCAAGCCCTGGGTCGGGTTTTTAGACCCTAAACCCTAAACCCTAAACCCTTAGAGCCCTCAGTCCCGATGAAGATCGAAGGACAGCTCCGCCGGCTTCGCGGTAAAGGATGTGAAGCTGACGCAGGAGCCTGGGAGTTCGGGTTTTGTTTTTTAGGAGTTTAGGGTTTAGGGTTTAGGGTTTAGGTTTTGACCATTAGTCCAAGAGCCCTGAAGCACGAAGCCATGCTGGTAATCCTGACACTAAACGCTATGTGCGTTGTCGTAGCTTTCTAGGGATCCCTACAGCCTGAACCCTAAATCCCTTCTAGCCAAGCATTAATGCTCCAAAGGAATCCTAAAGCCGTGAGGTTTTAGCAGGGCGCCAGGTCTGAGTCACGTGCCACTTGTTGCTAGGAGACTCCTTCAACTGCGTTAAGGCCTAACGTCCCAAACCCTCTTTCGTGGTTACTGTTTTTGGGTTGGGGGGTTTTAGGGTTTGTAGGGTTCAGGGTTTAGGGCTGGTGCCAGGAGCTGTTCATGAAGCAGATGTTTGTCTTTGCGGGACTGTTGTCCGGCTTGGTGAGTGTTTTCTCCAGGCTGCATTTTTGAAACTAGCGGAATGCGGGGTGGGCATGTCGCAAGCGGTTCGTTGGCAAAAGTTTACATGCACTGTCGCCTGGACAGGCTGCTTGAGACGTTGCCATCCCCGTTGCATATTTTCGTGTTTATGAACTGCCGGTAACTTTTCATGGCATTTACCGACTTTCGACTTCCTGTTTGCGTCGCAAGTTGCGTGGCGCGGAAGTCTTTCTGACATCTTGAAGAGACTAACGGCAGCACAGTGGCCCATACTTGTTGGTGCATGGGTAGCTATAAGCAGGGTCTTCTGAACATGAGTTGCTATGATAAGCACTTTTCGCAGCAGCTACAACGTACCTACCGAGTTCGTGGATCTTGTAAGTAGGGCCACACCTGAATCGCAACGCGACCCAGCTCTGGGCGGCCTGTGCTGGATGGCCCGATATGGTTTTTAGGAATTCGGGAATGGGTCTAGGGTTTAGGAGGTTCGTGCTTAGTCAGTTTAGTGAACTAACATCTCTGAACGCTAAGCCCAAACTCTGAACCAGCAAAGGGATTTAGAAGGCTATGCACACACACACCCAGCCTGCCTACGAATCCAGGGCTCGGGGAGAGTTTACAAGGTCCTGCTGCATGGCTACTCAAGCAAAAGCAGCCTTGCTGCCCTTTTCGGCACACTCTGTCTGGAGGCTGTGGACTGAACCCTCAACCCTAAACCTCAACCCTAAACCCTAAACCCTCAACCCTAACTCCGTGAAGCCCCGAGCCTCTGAGCGCAAAAATCCCGGCTAACTGCTTGAGGGGCCTGCTGCAACCTGGGCCATCTTCCTTTGTCTGGTGCTTTTAGGGTTTAGGGTTTAGGGTATGATAGTCCCTTAACGTCCCTTATAATAGTCCCTATAATCCATTCCCCCACTCCCTATTAAGCACCAGCCAGTCCTGTCTGTTCCTCATCTTCCAACCGCGGTCACTGTGAACAGCAGTGGGGGATTCAGGAGATTCGGTGCACTCTTTTCTTCGTTGGGTGGGGTTATACATGAGGATCCTACTATTTAGATGTATGTTCGAGGCTTTTCCTGTTTGGGTGGGGTTTTAAGCGAGGATCCTACCATGTTTTCCATGCGGTGGATCAAAAGCGCGCCTCCGTCCACGAGCCCTGAGTTAAGGCTTGGGATGTAAGGGTCGAGACTCGCGAGCCTGATGCTGGTCTTGCAGGGCTCCTCTGAGCTTTTAGCTTTGAGCAGTGCTAGGAATCTGAAACCCTAAACCCTAAACCCCTAAACCCTAAACCCCTAAGCCCTAAAGTCCTAAGCCCGAACCCCCTAACCCTACACCCGGGTAGGGGCGTTGACGAGACACGATGAGATGAGCAGCGGGGCCTCGGAGCAGGGGTTCGCCCATTCGCACAACTCGGGCACCCTTGTGCAAAATGGTGGGTGTGTTTTGGGGTTAGGGTTTAGGGTTTAGGGTTTAGGGTTTAGGGTTTAGGGTTTAGGATTTAGGGTTTAGGGTTTAGGGTTTAGGGTCTAGCAATGAAGACCCTACTTTGCGTAGAAGGTTTGAGCTTGATCTGGGAGCTTAAAGCCCTAAGCCCTCAACCCTTTTAGGGCTCGGGGCCTAACCTCAGGGTTTAGGGTCAGGGCTCAGGGGTTTAGGGCCTTTTTAAGCGCCTGAACAAATCAGCCCATGACCCGACAGAGCCCAATCTACCCCCTCCATGCGGGAAATGTAAGATGTCATGGAACACTCTTTAACCTCAACCCCTGAACCCTAAACCCTACCCCCCTGAACCCTAAACCTTAAACCCCTAAACCCTAAACCCCAAACCCGAAAGGCACCCTAAACCCTAAACATCTAAACATCTAAACCCTAATTTCTCCTTCTCGTTCTCACATGGCTTAAGAGCTGCGAAGCGGCGCTCGCGTCATCGTAGAAGCCCGGCTCGCAGAACCTGAGCCATCTTCTACTATAGGATCTCCAGATGGGGGGTTTAGGGCTGAAGATCCTCAGCCTTACGATCTTGCAGTAGACCTCCTTACCCCCCAAAGCCCCTCAACTGCAAGACCTTGAGCCCTGAAGTTTCGATCCGGGAGCCACGTGCCACATGGCTCTATTAAAGCACAGCCAAGAAAACCATCGGAGCCATGTTTCTGTTCCATCGGCTGCTGAATCTCACCACGTGATCCAAGCTGCAAACAGTTTCTATTCTCAAGGCTCGTAGCTTCCAGCCTTGAGGGTTGAAGAGTTGGGATTGACGCCGGGCTGTAATATAGGGGCCTCAATACTTACCTACATTATTTTGGGGACTCCATATTATATTTATCATCTAAAGGACCCCCCAAAACCCTCTTCTAATTATTGAGGTCCCTGCATTATCTGTAGCACACTAATATGCGGGGCTGAAGCCGGACCGGTGGGCAGGAGGAGAGCACGAGACATGACCCCTTAAAGCTTCCAAGCTCTGAGCCCAAGAGAACCCCAGATCCTAAACCTGCAAGCCTCACGCTGAACCCTATACCGGGTGAGGTCTGACCCTGTAGAGACCACGCACCTCTAAACCATGCTTAGAGAACCCGAGGTGCTCTGCTGGGTTCCAGCGTTCAGGGTTCAGGGTATGGGCTCAGGCCCTAAACCCTAAACCCTAAACCCACCCTAAGCCTGAGCTTACCCTGAAGCTTAAGACCCCAAGCCCGACCAGTTCAAGAGCTCCTTTAAGTTCTGGCTCAGAGTCCGGCACAAGGGCCCACGAAGTATGGCTCCAGGTTGAGGGTCCGAGCAGGGCTTTAGGGCTGAGGGTTTTTCGGGCGTTGTGATCGATTCAGCTCGTTATTTTGCTGATACTTTGAGGCTTCGGGCTTTTAGCTTACAGTTTAGCGTAGCTCGAGTCTGGATATGGCTGTTACGCGAGCCCACACAATCTGTCTAGCAAGGATGATGTACAACGAGAAGGACCAGCTAACTGTCTGCCTCTCGTCAGCACTTGGTGGGAGGTTTGGCAACGGGGAAGCGGAGGCCTTGTGTTCGAGCTCCCCGTCCCGCCCTAAACCCTTGCTTTAGCCGCTCTCCTTCCGGATTATTAAGAGGTGTTTCGGAGGCGGGCCTGGTCTTGAGTGCCATTATATAGGATCCTTCTCGCCATACCTCTGGACCCAATCCTACATGCTCTTCTCCAGTCCTGCATCACAAGCGGTAGCTACTCTAGGACTCTGCTCAGAAACTCGTACCTCGACAGCTGCCCCTCGAATGCCTCTATTCTGCGCAAGTGGTGAGATGATGTGAGATGGTTTGGGCGCATCACGGCCACTTGCACGGCCTGCACGGAAGACCCTGAACCCTAAACATCCCTTAACCTATGCTTGAAACCTGCAAGCCTGAAAGCCCCGAGCCCTCAACCTGGACCGGTTCGGGGCATCTTCAGCTTGGTTCATCACAAGATGGCTCTCAAGTGGTGTTCTCCTGCAAGCTATGATCGGCCCAAAGACCCCAAGCCGAGGCGACTTCCTGGTGCCCAAGGAGCAGAGGCAGCGGCCTCTGCTATTGTGGCGTTTCTTTTGTTGTTGCGTAGCACACGTGTGCGAGTAGGAACAAAAGTGCCAGTGGTCGACCGACAGCTTTCGGCTCGAGCGCAGTCTTTGAGTTGCAAGCGCCTTTCGCAACTCATCGTCTGGTCATGTCTGGACCGGCGCACCATTCGCCTTCGCCGCCGCTTCCGCCGCGGCGACTTCATGGCGGCGCCGTGGGCTATCTCGTCGCCGGCAGCTTGCGGGAGAGTGGTCGTCGCGTCTCGAATGAGATTTAGACTGAGCCGGGCATCCTGAACATTGGTGGCGGCCGCCTTTGGCTCTCGACGAAGCCACCTTTGGTCGATCGACGAGCGCGGCGCTGGCCGCCAATAGCCACCGAGACGCCGGCCATGCCGTCGGGCAGCAAGTCGCCGAGCATCAGCCGCTCCGGATGCGCCTGCCTCGCCGGGGCCCTTTCCGGTCAGGGCCGACAGTCCTACAATCCATCGATGCGCTCTCTGACGCGCCAGCTCGCCCGGGAGCAGGCGTGTTGATCACGGCGCGCAGCGAGATCGACCCGAACTTTGGCCTTACGGCCACTTCTTGGTGGAGGTCGACCACGCCATGCATAATGTCCCGCCGCGTCGACTCCCCCGTCGACCCCGACTTGGCAGGACCGTCTGGAGATCATCGCCCAGGTCCTTCCCCTCATCCGGATGAAGGGATACGGCAAAGACCCGGCATTTGACGGCTGCTGGCGGCCTTTGCAGGCCTCGCCTCTGATCGGGCATGGAGCCCCGACTTCCACCAATGCCAACGCCTCGTCTCTCGACTTCGAGCCAAGGCCGAGGGCTGGACCCGAGTCCAGGCCCGAGGCGGCCAACGACATCGCTTCGCCTGCCACACCGAGCGCCTGAATGGCTTTTGGGTTTGGCGTTGTGGCAGAAGTGCTGGCACCCTTGTGGGACCAAGCGGACGCAGAAGTGCGCACCGCGGCACCGGCACCGGATTACCGGGCGGGATGCACCGCCAGGCGCAGTTCACCTGCACTTTTGTAGGGTTTTGGCTAACACGTCGTTAGCGCAGCGCTTGTTGTGTAGCGCACGTGTGCGAGTAGGAAGAGTGCCGCAATCGACCGACATCTTTCGGCCCAAACGCTGTTTATGAGTTCCCGCCTTCGCCACCCTTTTAACTTCCGTCTGCGACGCTGATCGACTAGATGGCCGGCAGCCGCCCGACCGGGCGGTGACCGGGGTGCAGAAGTGCGCTCCCGGGCACCGCCACCGGTTTATGGGGTGGGATGCCCGACCGTGCGCAGTTCGCGCTTCGAACAAAAAGGGGGCATCTGCACCTTTGTATAGGGTTTTGGCTAGCACGTCGTTAGTGTAGCGCTTGTTGGCTCATGGGTTCATGTTTCAGGATTGAGAATCAGGATATGATCATGGATCATGACTCATGACTAAGATGTTATGATGATGAAATCATGGATGATTTCAAATTCTTGAGCGCATCACCGGCCAAGCCGCA